GTGGAAGCATATTATGGAAAGCTGATTAGTGTTGTGAATGCACTTCATCGATGAAAAATAATCAATGCTTATGTGCATTGTCATTGTTTTATCCTTGCAGATGACCACTTGCTTTGATGAAAACAAGCCATGAGGCACAAAGGGAAAAAGAAGGGATGTGAAAAAGCATGTCCCAGAAAATATGTCCAAAGAAAACAAGGGATGAAAAAAGGAGAAAAGGTATTGGAATTTGCCCACTCACAGTACTGTGTTATTGCCAACCAGCCTAACAAAAAACAACTTCATTTTCACAAGAATGTTTTTCTCTAATGCAAGCTGCTCTTTGTGAAGAAAATGAATCAACAGAGGAAACACATGGGGGCATTTGCTTTAAGAAGTTGCTTGAAAATTAAGCAAGCTCACCATTAGTGCAAGGTAGCAAACTACTTGGCTATATGGGCCCTCTGAATCAGAAATTCCACAAAACTCTGGAGGAGAAAAGTGAGGACATGAGCAACACCAGAATTAGAATGGACTCTCCTTGAGTGGTATCCTCTTCGATTTCTTTCCTAAACATATTTCTGAGAAAGTAGGCAAGGCACGTAGGCAAACTGCCAACCAGATGGTGCAACTGACTGTGGAAGATACATTCAGAAGGGCAGCAAAACACAGAATAAAAAGTCCTATCGTTTGCATGAATGCAACAACACAGGCCAATATTCACCAGGTCCTTTTCACATGTAAGATGGCAAATGCTAATTCTAGTGCCTTTCTGCCTCTGCCTGGCTCAGTTGCAGAATTTATTATTGCTTTCAGTTCTCCTATACCACCCCTACTATATACTGGAAGAACTACTTTATGTTCTATTTATGTATTTTATGGATGGGGTTTTCAAAAGTGCTCACTGTCGGCCTGCGTTCTCACTGAAGTACCTAGTAAATTGACTTTGAGAGCAGAGTTAGAACCATGCTGAGCACATTTGAAGATTCTATGCTATTGTATAGAATGAACAAAAGAAAATAACTCTTCTCATTCAGTTGCCCATATAATCGATGAGTAGAGAAACTAACACTGGAGCTAAAGGGCAGTCTAAAGAGTGATATGCCTTTTAATATTTCACCCACTGCCATGTCTTTTTCAGTTTATTATGTATAATATATGGAGTTTATATTTCCATTATATTATATCTGCACAGAGGTTTTAGCTTTATTTTGTGTTCTCTTCCCTGCTGCCTTCCCATCCAGGCAAGGAGTACTTTTCAGACATGAAAGTTTTCACACATCACAAAGTAGCTGTAGATATCTCTTGCTTTTTATATGAGTATTAGTTTGTGGTTTTGCAGTTGGTTATTTTAAATGCCATTGTTCAATTGGCTTATCAGTTGTATAGATGGGGCATTGTGTATTTGCTAGCAATGATATGGCTCTATCACCATTAAAATGTCAATGTGTAACCACAGTTACTGCCAAAACTTGACTAATCTGCTAGCTGTTAGTGAGTGGGAACTATTCTCTGACTAGTCTCTGGGACTAAGTAATCCATTCCTGCAATATTTAAACCTTCTGCGATAGGTTAGACTTCTTTCTAGCATCACACTCAGGCAGTTTCAACCTTTCTTCCTCTTCCCAAGTCCTTTGCCCATTTAGAACTTTACTCCAGCCTTTCTGTGTCTCCTACCTCTGGGGATGTTTCTTAGTTCCCTTATGAAGGTCTGATTTTTCTGTTTATCTTCAACTCCTGCCTGACAGCGATCAGCTTGTCTTGGATCTGGTAAGTCCTGCTTGCTGCCTGATCCAGGGACAGGCTGTCCTTTAAGCTTGTTTTCTCCAGCAGGAGCAGGCTCTGTAGATGTCCCTGTTTAGGGACTGGACTTGAGAACACGTCCTGTGCTAGTACTCTATGATTCTATTAGATGAGCTCAGAGGAGAACATTAACCTTCTCCTCAATGCTAAATACCCTATCACATGCTCTCCTCCCCCCCAAAAAAATTGGTAGGTCTTTATATGCAGGTTCAAGTCGAACATGATATTCACCCAATATGGTCAGTAACCAATGAAAAGGGACTGCCAAGCAGATAGTGATCTGAGAGAATCTATAACCTACTTCCTCAACAATCAATAGGCTTTTTTTCCCCTGAGGACAATTTTCTGCTTAAAAATAGAATTGGTTGCTCCTCACCTGAAAAGTTCTATAAAGCCCAGTGCCCAGGCTGATGTCTAACCAGCTATATGTAACACAGATAAAAGTTGTGATTAAAAAGAATGGATGCCTGACTTCCTGACTGCCTTTCATATGGTCTGTCAGGAGAGCTGCTATTGATGTGAGGCTAGGAATAAAAATGTCATAATATCTGGCCAAGTCAGAAAGCTCCTCACTTGCCTTTTTGTCTGGGGGACTGCTCACTTGGTTAGCAGCTTCTTGTAATGATCTTAACACTGCTTTCGTAGGTTGTAGGTGATCTTCCCATCCAGGCCGTCGGTGGCATAATGATACTGGGGGCTGAGGGCATTATTCATGAACTTTAAAAGCTTGAAAGGGCCCTGAATAGTTTGAATGGTATAGTCTTGAAAAGTTTCCAGAGAGGTTGAAATGGTCTCCCATGAAGAGAGAGATAAGGGATCCTGCCAAATATCCCTCAGTGAGATTGAGAAAATTAAGGGAATTTGCAGCTCTCAACATCTACCACAGCTTGTCTACCCACAACAGAATCAGGTCGTTTTGTGTTTTTTTGAATCAGGCCCTTTTTTAACTCTTCTCTTGGGCTCCCATCTCTCTCATTAGCTATTGTGTTTGTGATGCTTGAACCTGCTGGTGTGTAGTCCATTGCTGCAGTAGCTGTTGTTTGCCCTGTTCTACTGGTTAGACTTCATCTTATCCAAACACTTACATAAGTGGTGTGGGTCCATCTTTGGCCCTTGGGCTTCTACTCTGAAGATAGTTACAATTCTTTACTTCCGCTGGGCACAGATTTTTCCTTGAATGAGCATGGACATTTCAAAATATGGTGCTAACCTAAAAAGTGACTTTGAATGTGGAAATCTACATTGCCATATTTTCTCATTTCCAAATCAAATTCATTTAGTCTGCAAGTAAAAAACTATTTTTCTTTCAAACTGTTGGTGCCTCAAACAAGATACTGCAGGCCAAATGAGGCCATTATTTGTCCCTATCCATCCTTGTTGTCTGCAGATTATGTTCTTAGCACCAGGTGAATAAATTCATTGGCCTTCAGAGGGTTTGCAGAAGCATCTCTGAATATGTTATTGAAGATGTTGAGGTTCATTAAATATAGCCAATGTAAAATTTGGCCTGTCGACTCTGTAAACCTAGTGAAGATGCTTCAAAAGGATAGAATGTATACAGAGTGATAAAGCTGAGCAAAATTTGGAAAAGATAAGTCAGTGAGATAGAGGGAACCCAGAACCACCCAATTCCATTTTTACTAAGTCAATTTCAAACTGAACTTTAAGTATTAAAATAGAACTTGTTAGTGCTTGAATGAGCCTTTTTAAATTACATCAATATGTATAACTTAGGGCATGTTTCCAAATACAGTTGATAAAAAAAGTATATCTATCTATTTTAATCTGTTAGTCCAGTTGGTCAAAAGTCATAGGTTCACAATTTAGCCATGGAGCAACTTAGAATGAATCTGTCTGTCTGTATGCTTTCTTTCTGACTTCCACCTTATCCTCTTTCACTTGCTTCTCCCCCCTCTCCCTTCCCTCTGCCCACTGTGCCCTTCTTTAATCCCCATTCCACTTTCCATACTTATCATTATTTTATTTCCTTTCTGCCTCACTTGATCCCCTGCCTAAAGATAAAATCCATAGAGGACCTTCTTTATTTCTACTCCTAGTTTAGCATCCAAGTTCTGGCATAGACTTTGTACTGGTCAGTCACTGAAAAAGACAAGTGCCTTCAGGAACAATTAAGAGTCAGCAATGCTGCAGATAGTAATACTCCTAACTCTTGCTTCCAGCTCTATAGGAAAAGGCAAAGACTGTTGGGCAAGAATATATTAGCCATTGGTTTTTGGAAAATAAATAGCTGGTAACTCATTTGTGGATAAAATAGCAAATTTGATGCAGGAAGTAGGAATGGGGGAGTGCTGTTCTGCACTTTGCATAGTCATTTACATTAGCACTGAGAACTTTTCTGATTTCATAGTACTTTATACAAGGTGCAGGACAAAGGGAGAATTTCTCCTGTGATTTCTAGACAGAGAAGTTGTGCAGAAATCACAAGGAGACACATGTTTTTGAAGCTCTGATGACACTCAGAATTATCCATGATGAAAGAAAATAAAGAATATTGATATTGTGTTCATTAGTGTGCCTTGTTTTAATGTCTTCAGGCTTATCCATGTACCAACAGGGTCTGACACTGCACACAAATTATTCCACTAACTTTGATTAAACTACTCAGATGCTTAACGTGAACCATGTGCTTAAATTCTTTGATGAATCAGGATCTTAGTTTGTAGCCATACTTCTGTGGACTATGATCCCAAGATCAGGGTGCTAGAAACCAGGTCAGGCCCAGTCTGTACTTAGATGGGATGCCAAAAGACAGGCCTTGTTTGGTCACTCTTCCTACTGAGTGAACACCGAATTCCCCAGCATGATGTGCATGGGCAATATTTTTCCAGAGCTATAGGCATTCAGATTAATAAGCTACATTAAGGCTACATCTACACTGGCGGCTTCTTGCGCAAGAACTCTTTTGTGGAAGAGTTCTTGTGCAAAAAATCTTCCACAAGAGAGCATCTACACTGCCATGTCCTTTTGTGCAAGAGATGTGCTTTTGTGCAAGAGCATCCATGGCAGTGTAGATGCTCTCTTGCGCAAGAAAGATGGCCATTTTAACCATAGGGGCTTCTTGCGTAAGAAATTCATGTTGCCTGTCTACACTGCCCTTTTGTGGAAGAGCTCTTGCATAAGAGGGCTTATTCCTCATGGGGAGAGGAATAACTCTTCCAGAAGAAGCTCTGTTTTACAACGCTATACTGTAAATTTACTTGCGGAAGAACGCTTGTGCAGTGTAGACAGCAGGCAAGTTTTTGCGCAAGAATGGCAGTTCTTGCTCAAGAAGCTGCCAGTGTAGACGTAGCCTCAGTTTCAGGAAAATTTTTCCCTTTTCAGGAGCGTGGCCTAACAGAATGTACACTATTTATTTTACATAGCATGGAAGAAGTCTGATACTTTTTTTTTCTTGAATGTGATACTCGTGTGTAATGTGGATGGTGAAATGTGTTTATAAAATACTGGTCCAATTCTGCAGTAACTTACATGCTGTGCAACCTCAATGAAGTCAGTGAAGTTGCCCATATGTAAGTCTGTGCAATATCTTGCAGTTTATTTGGTGGAGTTGATGTGCTGCACATATTACTGAGCCACAGTTTTATGACTATTCAGTGACTTACAATTTAATGTAAAAGAAAATGTGACACACACTGGGATTTTTAAACTTTTTTTCTTGTCTTTTGCATAAAAGGACCTGCATGCATCATCCATATAAAGCCAATGAGAGGATGATCTGTCTTTGGGGGAATGATTGTCTGCTCTACCAATGAAAGGTCAATGACTG